TTTTTGGGTGATGGAGTTATTCTGTATTATGATTATGGTGGTGGCTTCCCTAATAAAGCTGCCAAAAAGGAAAAAAAATGCATTATTGTAAATTGATCAACCCAAACATAACAAAATACTGCATTAAGTTAAGACCTTTGGAAAGGCATTAACATGTAGATAATTTTTTTCCTTTTTTGGCTTCTATTAATAAATTAAGAGGCATCAATCTATTAGAGACCAAATGAATCTCAGAGGTCTACACATTAGCAATAGACAGTTCCATGAAGACAGTGCACCTACAGAGAAAGAAGCTCATGGAGGAGTGGTGGTATAATCCAAAGTACCTAGAAATATTGACAGATGTGTAAACTAGTATACTGGTCAAAATTTTTCCCCATGTGGAAAAATTTTACAAATTATGTGCTTATGTCCCCAGAGTTGGATTATGATTACTTATGTTAGTACAGATTTCTATGTGCCTCCAAAAAAGGTAATTTGTTACAATGTCAATAATACTTAACTTTTCTTCTTTTGCCTGTTCTTGTTTTCCTTTGGTATCTGCTGCTGCTTTCAGTAGAGATCCTCTAGCTGCTCTGCAAGGTCGATTTTCTAACTTGCTAGAGCCTACACCTGGGCCAAGTTCAAACATCCACTGAGCTCGGAACATCTGGAGTTGTGCCTACAGGGAGAAAAGTATTTCATGATGCATCAAGGAAGGGTAGCTCAATTCTGGAACAATTTATTAATATGTCCAACATTTACTTCCATGTATATATTTATTCTAAGACCAGAAAACACTGTCTTCTAAATTACTAAATACTCATTAAATACCTGTTATCTTTTAAAATAATTTTCTGCTCAAAATCTTAAAGAATCATGAAAATTAGCCTAAAATATTAATAAGTCAATAGAGCAAAAGCGTAATGATATTGGGAACCAAATTTTAATTAGAATTAAAATATAAGCCAACATTTAGGGACTGAAGCTGTAAGCTTCCAACAATTTGTTAATGAATATATCATCTAGCACACATTAAGAGTGCTGCTAAAAATTCTGTAGGTAAGCACAAAGTCTTTCTTTTAATAAACATTCTGTATTTCAAAAAGAAAACGATCTTTTTTTATACATATTATCTTAAAAATTTAAAACACACAAGAAATGAAGTTCCCCTGTGTGGTAGACTCTGATGTGCTGCCCAGATTCTCCTACAGGAATAAATACCTTGTTACCCCGGCTGCTGGCAGTAATGCCTGAAAACAGCCCTGAGTTTCAAGCCCTTTTGGGTATTGCCTCACCAAGATCACACTGCCTTCTCAATCCCCACCCAAGGACTGATCAATGGGTGATAAAGGCCTGGCTCTCTCTTGCAACTCTGGTCAGCTCTGAAAGGGTACTCTATCTTCAGAACTCCCTTGGGATGGCTAAGGCAGTCCATTAAGACTGCACAGCAGCTGGACTTCTCCCCCATGCCTGCTGCTGCTTCCCTCTCTCCCTTCCATAGGCGTTGGTCCCAAGAGCACTCCCTAGTAAACCTCCTGCAAGGCAGTCATCACCTAGGTGGGCTTCCCTCTCCTGGGGAACTGCTTCTCCCAAAGAGGGCCATTGCTAATAGGATTGTATATATTATCCCTAGCTTGAGTGCAGTGGCTTGAGACAGAGTCTTGCTCTGTCACCCCAGCTTGAGTGCAGTGGCATCATCATAGCTCACTGCAACTTCAAACTCCTGGGCTCAAGTGATCCTCCTCCCTCAGCCTCTCAAGTAGGTGGGATTACCGGCACACATTACCACACCTGGCTAATTTTTCTATTTTTAGTAAGACAGG